GTGGTTGGGCAGCGGCCTGCCGTTGATAAATACGCCACCGAGCTGGTTGACACGGCCCTGGCCCAGAGGGGTAGACACTGGGAGAAGGTAGAAAAGAGAGAGTGGCAAGGGGAAAGTTAGGAAGCACAGAACGGCAACAGGATAGATAAACCCACCTGATTTCACACTCTCTTGGCCAATCCACATGTGGCAGCCCCAACATTAAAACTGCTCAGAATTGGATTCCCAGCCCCAGATCCTTTTTCAATCCCAGTTGTTCACATTACTAAGGAGTTCAGGGGCATATCATCTGGTGTGGTTAGAACAACCGGGGCAAGATAATTTCCCCCCAAAAAAATTAAAAAATGACACCTTCCCTGCTCCGGGCAGCAGGCAATACCCTTCTTCCTCTAGAACCAGTGTCCTGGCAGAGAAGTTCATCCAGGTGCTAGTCTTGGGGAACTCTGCTCCCACCAAACCCTGCCCAATCGAGACCACCTTTCTAAGGAATTTCAGAAACTGACAGCCCTCAGAGTTTCTGACTAACAGGGCACCTGCCAGGGGTCATAGAGGATCCGAACAGAAGACCACAGGCAGATAGATATGTCACCTGTTACACCTTGGGACGAGGACAGCGTCTGCCACATGTCGCTCAGCCCACATCCGTACCCTGGATATTACACTTTACTCTGGATGGAGGGTGAAGGGTGCCACTGGGTCAGCACCCACCCCTGGTGCCCTAATCTTCAAGACTGTGTGAAAGTGTGCTTCGGGCTTGCAAAGCTTCCTGCCTCCCTGGGATTCTCAGAATCTTCTGGCTGATTGAAAAGCAGTTCCCAAACAAGGTATGGAAACCTCAAGACACCACTTGAGATAAAAGCAACTCTAATTAATAACTAGTTAATCCTAAAGATTCTAATCAGGATGACAGACTAGACAGGGGCTAGCCACCAAAACTTTGCCGGAGAAAAATCTTCCAAAAATAATAACCAGAGTTTCATAGATGTGAGTGCAATTGGGATCATTTTGAGACAACTGAGGGTGGACAAAATGCGGAGAAGCTGCTTCTGGTGCTCAGAAGTCGGCTCATCCCCTTTTACATCAGGGCATTTCCAAAACAACGGAGAGAAGTGGATGGCCCGGTACAGGCCCGGCCATCAGGTTCCGCCAGGGTTTGCAGAGAGCACCGGCTCCCTTTGCAGAGAGAAAACCGAGTGGGGTCTCGCTTCCGGCTGTTGCTTCTTGGGGTGGTGAGTGCCCCTGAAATGGACTCCCAGGTGCAACAAACGAGCCTGTGGAGACCGGAGATGCCCAGGCTGGGATAGGGCAGTCGTTCCCAGGCCTCGCGGAATCCGTTCGGCGCTGAGGCCCTCCCTTACCTTCCAACGGGAACCCGCTGCGTGGGTAGTTCTGGCCCGGGCCCGGCCGCATCATCCTGGGCACAGCGCCGGCCAGCGTGGTCATCCTGGGGACAGCTTCGCTCGGAGATTATATCCAGGTGAAGGAGAAAAAGAAAGTTGAGCACGGCGCGGATGACCCTCGGGAACTCTCCGGAGGGTAGAGAGCCCCTCCCCCAAAAAAACGAGAGCAAGAGGGAGGGCCCCGGGGAGGGGGCCGCGCGCTCCCAGTCCAAAGCCTCGAGTGGGAACTCGGGAGAGAGGTGGGCGGGGAGGCCCTGAGTCCTGGATCCCGAGCCCAGGGCGGAAAAAGTTTGGTGCGAGTCTGGGCGAGTGGCCCCGCAGCTGGGGGCGCTGGATAAGGAGCTTGCGCCACGACGAACCGACAAACCGGGGAGAGGGGTGAGGCGGGAGCGCAGCCTGAGTCTCCTCCCGTCGTGACACCGAGTGCGGGGATCCGGGCTCGGGAGCATTTATTAGTTCTTTCACCCAAAGCTTGGTCAGGAGCCCTGAGCTGCGATTGGCCGACGGGGAGACCATCCCGGGTGGCGGAGACACGCGCTGATTGGGCGACAGCGGCCACTTTCTCTTCCCATCCCTGGCCATGGCGAGGGCGTGGCCAGTCCCCGC